CCAGATTGGTTTCTGAATCACAGCAGTTTCCAAAGCTGCTCCTACATCAATTCAGTGCAATGGCATGGAGCAAAGCCTGTGCTTTCAACAGACAGCGCTTAAGAAGTAACTTTTTAAAGGCAGTTACTTACCTTTCAAATTTAACAGAGATGAGACTGACAGAATGGTATGAAAATTATTCTTAAAACTGACATTTTAACAGAGAGTGACTTTTTTTTTTTCCAAGCCATCCTATAGAAAGCAGCTGTCAGGATGTAACGCTCTGCTCAATATAGAGGATGGCTCACAGATCGATCGAAAGGTCAATACATATTTTCTCTCTGCAAAACTTTTCCAGAGGGAAACTGCTCCATCAGTGTAATGCTCATTCTCATCTTCCTGTCCCCATCCTGTTCCCCCAGCCCGCAAGTCACATGGGTACCCGCTGCTGAGGTGACATTGAAGCTTGAGACTTTCTTTTGTGTTGCGTTTCTTTTGTTGGGGTGCAGGAGAGGCTTTTGTAGGACCTGGGGGAAGGTGGGCACTCCAGCTCCTCGGTCTTTCAGAGGCAGATGGCAGGTCTGGTCTTTCAGAGGCAGATGGCAGGTCTGAGGTGCAAGGAACATGCAAAAGCAGGCAAACGTGTAACCCCAGGACCTACACGGAGCACACAGCAACCTTTAACCACGCTGCTCCGGAGTGACTGTTCACGGGCTCTTGGCGACGCCGAGAGCCGATCCTTGCAGCAACCCCTTGCCTCACCTTGGGAGCTCCTCTGCTGAATGAGCCGCCTCCCAGTTGAGGAATAACAGATGCATTTACCACATGCCAATCTGTCTCTGTCTGGGTCCTTCCCCAGCCCCCATCACCACCCTATTCAAGAACTTGCAAAGTATTTAAAAATAGCAGTAAGACTAACAATCTCTCTTTCTTTCCTCCCCAGCTTGTAGCAGAAATAGCTTGATTAGTGCACAGCTCTGGTGCTTCAAGGGGAGAGCAATGAAACTGCAGAGCTTGCAGAGCAGCTTTTCAGCTTTCTTCAGGCAGCAATTGCTGGCTGCTTCGCTGAAGCACCGGCTCTTCAAAGGATGGCAGGTTTTAGATCAAGGACTGCTTGTTCTGCCGCACGCCTTCTGAGGCGGATTTACAACGGGAAGAGAGGCACTGCCACATCTGTGGACCTTGGGAGATATGTGCCCACCTCCCCTCCGCACCAACTGCTGTCATTTGCTCAGCATGTCCAGAAGGCTGGGAGAAGAGTTTTCTGCCTATGGGTTTTCTGTCCTGGGAATAGAAGCATGGTTAAACAGAAAATACTCAACAGAGTCTGTATAAATAGTCAATAGGCTGTAGCCTGATCAGGGGCTTGTCAGGCAAGACTCCCAGGGTCTCATCTTATTCCTCAGGCATTGATTTAGGGTGACTTTGAAGAAATTACTTGTCTGCTCCAGACAAGCACAAAGTGGATTGGACTTCCTTGGCTCACAAAGGTTTCACTTACTTTAGCTCAAAAAGTACCTTGAGATTCATATTTAGAGGGGTTGTGTGCTGCTATTGCCTCACGGTGCTTTAAGGCCATAGAGCCATTTCAGCTGTGGGCAGGAATCTTGATGGGCTTCTGCAGTAGATTTCCCTGCTACTGCCTCCACATCTGCTCTCTGCCCTCCTCTTGGTCTCCTGGAAGCTCCTCCTGCCCTTCTGCATTTTTTGTGACGTGCTCCATGTCAGCTGGGATCCAATAACAGCTATATTTTCTCCTCTGCTGCCTTGAGTGCAATGAGGAGGTAAGTCCTCAGCACAGCTGCTAAGAAAGAGGAATCCAGAGCCCAAAGTCACTCCATTGCCAATGGCTGAGGATTTTGGATTCAGGGATGTGGACTGTGGGTCTGCTTCCAGGATGAGCTGTGGCTCCATGTATAGCAGAGAAACAGTCACATCTAACGTTGTAGACATAAAAAGAGAGATCCTGGAGCATGACTAAGTAACCCCAAGAGTTGCCAGCACTCTTGGATCTAAACTCTTCCTCCTGCCTTCGCTCTGGGAAGAGACTCCCAGGAGTGAAAGTGCTTCTTAACCAGCTTCTCCCAGAAAAGTCCCAGGGTTAAGGTGTTCACTCATGACTCAAGTCCAAGTCACTGGTCATACAAGACGTCTATGGCTAGTCCACACAGTCTGCAAGTCCCCTCTGCAAATGGAACAAGGATAACATCTCTGTCCCGTCTTGTGGGCATACAGAGAGATGCAATGCATTACAGGGGAAGATCAAGGTGCTGCAGAAGTAAAAAGCAAAACAAAACACTCAACAAAAAACCCAGCAGGCTAATTCCTTGAGTAGGATAATGTTTCTGCCAGGAGTGCATGGTTAATTCAGACTTCTGCTGAACCATGTGTGCTGAAGCATCCAGCCCTTTCCTGACCCCATGCACTGCCTCTGAGCCCCAAGTGCACAGGGCTGTTCTGCAACCTGGTGTTTTTTTGCTCTGACACTGAGGAAGGCTGCCTTGCTGGTTTGCCCTCTCCAGGTACTGTGATGCCCAGGGCAGGATTGCTTTGGCCCTCAACACACCTGGTTAAGGAGAGATGATTTCTGCCCACACTCGCTGAAGGAGACGTGAGAGGAGCAACTAGTGAGCACAGTAGCAGGGAAAAACTCACCCAGATCAAGGTGTCCATCCCTTTGATGAGAGGCAGGCAAGTAACCTGGTGCTCATGCACCGGCCACGCTGCCCACGTCCAGTTCCCTCTGTGTTCTGCTTTGTAAATGTCATCTGGACTCTAAAACACTGCTTGATGTCTTTCTTTCCAAGGCCTTCCCAGCAATATGTGCTCCAGGAACACAATGGAGCCTTGTCAACTGTCTCAAGGAGACGACTCTCTTGTTCGCCTCCAAGAGCACCTCCCAGGCCAGGATTTCAAGGCCTTTCGCCCTGCTTAGCACATGCCACAGCAGGAACCTGTTACCGAAGGGGGAAAATGCTATTGCCGAAGCCAAACCTGATCCGCAGTCTCCTGTGAGACTGGGCTGGGGCTACCTGCTGCATCCCTGCATGGGCTGCAGGCTGGGAGCAGCTCCTGGGATGGAGGAGTCGCAGCCACCCGGACGGAAGCCAGCTGAGCACTTACCAGAGCACAACAGCCCTCACTTCTCGTGCTGAAAGCATCACAGTGGCAAAGGACAACCCCCAGGATCAAGCTGCCTTCTCCTCCATGTCTAGCAGTCTCCAGCTAGGAGCTGGCTCAGCTGCCCGCTGTGGTTGCTCTGTGGTCAACCTTTCAAACCTGCCAGCAGTGCCTGTGGTGCAAGTGGTTTTCACTAATGCTCCTTGCACAGCACAGAAGGGAAACTGAGGCACACAGCACTGATGTGATCCATCAAGTCACAAGTGAGGAGAGCAACACCCAGAGGAGCTGTGCCTTGAGGCTCTGCATCCTGCCAGGTGCATCTGCTTAGTGCTACCAACATTCAGAATTTCTGTGGTGCTGTCAGGCACCTTGTCCTTAAAGTGGACAGAGTAGAAGCAGGAAGTGAGAAATCCCATGTACAGTTAAAACACAAAATAAATAATAAAATAAAGGCAAACAAAAGCTTTCAAACCACCACACAACCAGGCAAAACGCTCCGTGCTCCCAGTCCCAGCGCCAAGGGGGAATTGCTGAGCAGCGGGCTAGGGATCAGGGATGGGGAAGCAGCGGCTCTCGGAGGGAAAGGGGTGTCAGGAGAAGGGGTGATGGGGGCAGCGGAGCGGGGCTGCCGCCCGCCGGGGCGGTGCTGCCCAAGGATGCGCCGAGCGCGCAGCCCCGGCCGCTCGTCCCTCCCTCCCTGCGGAGCCCGGGGGGGCTCCCCGGCTGCCCCCTTCCCGCTGGAGCTGCCCCGGGAGCCGCGGAGCCAGCGCAGCTCGCCAGGTACTCGGCATCGGGATGGGATGGGATGGGATGGGATGGGATGGGATGGGATGCGATGGGAGAGCTCCACGGAGCGCGGGTGACCTTGTCGTCCCTCTGGTGCCCAGCGGCTTTGTTGCTACCATGTCCTGCTGGAAAAGAGCAGGACCGAAAGCCGCCCCCCCGCCCAAACTTTGTCTCAGCTCAGCACCCAAATCAGGGTGTCAACCTCACGAGCAGCCCTTGTCTTTCCCCTTATCTCCTTACCCCACCGCCTGAGTCCCTTCAAAAGGTGGAATTTTCAGCATCCACACTGGAATTTTCCAGCTTTAGGGTGATGCCACCTGTCTTGATTTTCTTTCCACCCATTGCTATAGCATTTGAGGGAAGCAGGGGGGAGGGGGGCAAAAAAAAAGGTGGACTCTCTAACCAGCTTATCAAAACGTGGTGTCCCAGGCACATCGCTCCCCTAGCGAGTGTTTGTATCGTGCCTCTTTGTGACAGATGTAGGAGAAGTGAAAGTACAGAGAGGCAACCAGCACACACAGCCACGATGGCTATGTGCCCTGAGCGCGCTGCTCCCTGCCTTCCTCAGCTAGGGCAGCCCTCCTCCTCCTCAGCTAGAGCAGGAGGTTTGGGGCCCCTCCAAGAAGAGGGTCTAAGCACAGGGAGGGGAGACACAATTTCACTATGTTGGCTGGTGACAGTGGCTGAAGAAAGGCCAGCATCACCACAAGGAGGCAAGAAGACTCTGGAGAGAGGACAGGATGAGCAGGAAGGCGCGAAGAAAACTAGGAAGAGGCAGGAGGAAGTGGAGGGCTAGGGAAGAGCTCGGTCCCTCTTCACCCCTGCCTGGCACAAGGTGTCCGCCAGGGATGTGCTTGCTGGCTCTGTAGAGAGACCAAGTTTGGATGGATGTTTGCAGGTGAGCTGGAAAGTACTTGCTTTGCCCTCCTGTCACTTGCTCTGTCCAGCTTGGGGCCAGAGGAGAGGAGAAGCAGGTCTAGGAGCTAGTGCACAGGAGAGGAAGCAATGCCAGAGGTGCTGCAAGGCTGGGAAGAAGCAGCCAGTCCCTCAATAACCCTGCAGGAAGACCTGGCACGGGGCTAATTTCTGTGAGTGCTTGGAGGAAGAAGCGTTCAGACCTTCCAGGGAGCAAGGCTGGCACCAAGCAGCTCTGTAGCACAGCAACAAAGCCTGGCAATAAGCATCCGTTCAGCAACTTAGAGCTTGCACAGTGAGTGAGTGGGGGAGCATGAGCAATGCAGCATCTGCAGGTGCTTTCAGCTCCTTCCTTGGACGGGAAGGAGGCAAAAGCATACGTGCAAAAAGCACGCGTGCAGAGAGCCCGGGCGGGAGCAGCAGCTCCGCACGTAAGTCCGCTCATCCGCCTCTTACTTGGGTTCAAATCTTGTCTGGCGCAAATGGGAAAAATAGCTTGTGAGGTGCATGCCCTGAGTTCCTGGACTGCCAAAGGACAGTCCCTTTCTGAGGGAGAATCTCAGACAAGCCTAGGAAGGAGATGAGATGGGTGCATGGAGATGAATCCTAGCAAAAAAAGACATCAGCGTTACTCAGATGTGAGATACCTTAGTAAGGGATTACATGGAGACCTGTTCCAGGTAGTAGGAAAGGTTGTAGGACATGGAGGGGCACTGTCAGAGCTGGGGATGACCACAGATGTGTTGCATCTGTCTGTAGCTGTGCCTGCCATCAAACCCCTTCTCCCTGTGCCTTACAGCAGGATCTAGGGGTCAGGGTAGCTTTTGGCTGGTGTCTGCTCCATGATGTCCTGGGAGTTGCTCAGGGTATATATGAGGCTTGCTCTATGGATAAGTGCTAGTTGTGGAGCACACAGTGCCCCGGCATGAGGACAGGAGCTCGGTGGCCATGATTCCATCCCTGCCTCCTGGGAGCTGCTTCACTTTCAGGGCACTTCAGTCTGCACTGAATTAAGGCTTTGCAGGATGGGTGGTGTCAGAGGTAGATGCACTCAGCAGCCAGCATACTGTTGGGTATTTGAGAAAACAGAAGATATCAAATTAAAGCTCTTGGCTTCTTTGTCATTTTTCAATGTAGTATTAATAATTACAATAATTGATAAGCCATTTAGGCAACCTTGCAATTCCAACCCAATCCAACCTGCTGACACAGCACAGCTGAGATGCAGCCAGCTCTACAGCGAAGGGCCTCAGTCTGACCTGCAAGACCTCAGACAAACATAGGATAGAAAATAAAGCACTGGGGCTGAGGACATTTGCACTCAGGGAGAGGTTTTTTTTTAAAAGACAAAACGCTCCTGCACCTGTGGGTTTTGTTTCGGGGTCGTTCAGGAAGGCTGTTGCTTAGCGAGCTGTACAAAGCTGCAGAACAGCTAAATGTGTGCGAAAGAGAATACACCTCCACGTCACAGAGCCCTGTCACCTTGAAATTCACGCTCCTCCTGTGGTTCAGGCACGTCTCTGTGACCAGCACTTCAGTGCTGCTTCACGGTATCCCCCCTGCAGAGTGTCCAGGTTGCTACCAGGCAGTTCAAAGTCGTGTGTCCCAGATACGCGGTATCCTTTCTTCTTGTCTACGAGACCCTCTCCTCCAGAAGAAGTGCCTTCCCAAGGGGATCCTCCCTCTGCTTCAGTGACAGGCCAGGATATGTCCCTAGGGTCTGAGAGCCAAGACGTGTCTAAGATGCAGCTTGCTGGTGGTGGGGAGGAGTGGGTTCCCTGCAGCCTTTATACCCAGGTCTCCTTCCTCCCCTCTTCACCACGGCAATCACTGCCCTGCTCACCCCTGTTTCTCCATGCCTGCTCTACCTCTGCTTCATAGCTCCAGCTCCTGATGCCCCTCTCCTTCAAGGTGCCAGTGCTGCAGGCACCATCGCTTCCAGCTCCCCACCAACACCTAAGGTAGCTCCTCAGGGCAGCGTTGCCATCTCGTGAACCCATCTACCTTCTAGAGCTTTTCCAAGGCCTCTTCTTCCTCCTCTTTAGCATCTTCTGTTGTCCTCTCTGTTCCAGCAAGGCAATGTTTGGCAGGAATAAAGAGAGCTCCTGAAATGCACTGTGAGCCTATGTATGCCTGTGAGGGATTAGATATTTGATAGGCTCCAAATATGCCCTTTACTGAGCATGCAAAATCGCTCTCGGAAAGCTTTGCAATTATTCTGCAGGATGTACACAGGAAAGATGATATCTGTCCCCTTCCTCCTTGTATTTAATTATTCCTTATACAAGAAAAAGCCTAAAAAGGTGGTAATAAGCCAGACTGGAAGTGGGGGAGTGGGGGTCTAACACACCTACAGGGCGCTGGAGAAGTCTAAAAATCACTCTGCTGCTTTTTTTTTTCTTTTTTCGCTCCTGTCCTTTCTGCCTCATAATAAGTATTGTGCTCATCAGTACAGCTTTCCCTCCGAAGATCTCCCAGTGCCATGCATACGTGAGGAAGAGCACTCCCTGCCCACGTACGGAGCTGAGCGCAGGGCAGGGGTAGTCATGCTGACACAGGGAGACACCGCAGCCGACGGCATCATTGCGGAGACAGCCCCAGGTCTCCCAGATGAGGTTTGCGTCTCTGCGAAGCCCTTGTGGAGCTGGGAAGTGGCTCAGCTTAACAGGACCATGATTAAGACCTACTGGTGCCATAGGAGACTAATAAATATAGAGTACATATGGGGCCTAGAGCCAGCATCACCCTCCTCAGCAGCAGACATGACTGCAAAGACCCCGTCCTTCGGAAGGGAAACTGGCCAGACCCTAATGATTTCCCCCGAGCTGGAATCTTGCTCCAAATCGCACCCCAGCTTGTGACCAATATGTTTATAAAGAAGTTGCTTCTTTATCCTTTGTGTTTTAAGCTGAGCAGGCTCATAATTCAGAGCTTGGTTAAGAAGTCTTATCTAGCTCACTCTCAAGTGACATTAATGTTCCCGTAGGTCTTAAGAGCTAGGATTTATCTGGTTTTGCCAGTATTGGCAAGTGTTCAACCACCTGCCTGATTGGCTTCCTCCGTCGCACAGTGTTCAGGGCTGCCTCAGATTCTTCTCCCTGAGATAAAAATTTGTGCTCTGCAAATTCTTCAAATGTATGAAATATGAGCAAAATTTCCCCAGGAAACAGAGTTTTCATGGGCTGAGACACAGAGTTGACATCTACAGCTTCAGCAACGGGGACATTGTATTTTTCTTGCTGTTTGTCCCTTCTCTCAGCAGGTAATCCCACAAATGCCTTATGCACTGAGGGATTTGTTAAAGTGAGGCTAGTAGTGACATCAGAGTGGAAAAACAACAAAGCCATGAACATTGTGGAATGGAGAATGAATGATTTCTGCATCTCTTCTCTTAGTAGGCAAACTGGGTTGCATCAGGAAAAAATACAAAAGGTAGCAATTTGGTGATTCAAAAAAAGTCCATTGCCTTGCAACACGTAGTGCCCTATGGAACTCATGGCCACAGAATCCTGCCAGGGCCAATTCAATGCAGGATTCAAGACAAGGGGAGGCATTTTGATGGATCCTAGATCCATTGTCAGATAGGTTGCAGCTTAGAGATTGAGATCTACTTCAGACTGAAGTTTCTCAATTGTCTTGCATAGGATTTCTTGTACCTTCTGAGATGCACAGCATTGATCAGCGTAAGAGGCAGGGGGCAAAAGGAGACAGACATGCTCGAGTGTAAATCACTAGGACAATTCTGATATTCATTTCTATGCAGAAGTGAAAAAAAATATGTTCACCAGTCTCTGTGCTGACACTAGCTCACATCGGTTTGTTTTTATCAGCTGGAGAGGGTTCTGGGTAAGTTCTGATGAGATTTGAGGTGGTCCAGTAGTACTTACACTGCTGCTTTCCCTGCCTGTGCTGTTGATTTGGATAGACTGCCAGCAGCCTGGCAAATTTGTGTGGCGCTGCCTTATAAATAATGCTGCATTGCAAAAGAAAACTGTGTTGTCCCATCCTTCGGATGTTACCCCTTGGCACTGAGAGCAAGGACGCTTATTCCTGCCGCCAGCCAAGCGAAGTACTGATATTACTTGGAGCTGAGCAGGGTTAACAGTCGGACCTAGTTAGCTCTGGCTAAAAGATTTTAGAGTAGCTATGCTGTCTCATTCTGCAAGTTCACGGTGGGTTTGTGTGTGGGTTGGAGGAGCACATGGGAATCATGTTTTGCTAGCGAAGCAGGATTGCTCCTAGGCAGCCCTCGTGTGGGAGAACACGAAGGAAAAGCCCAGGGCCAGGCAGGCACCAGTGGCCTGGCAGACCCTGCCCGCTCTGCGGTGGTGCTCCCAGGGCAGTGTTGCAGAGCAGACTGGCTGCTGAAGGCACTGCCTCTAAAATTAGAGCTACAGATGTGGTCTTACCAAGGTCCTCTTTGTCTGGTAGAAAATCTCCTGGGACCTGTTTCTAGACTGGCATAGACAGATCCTTGATGGGGAGGGAGCAGAGGTTGCCTGTTCTCCTGCACCCGTTATCCTCCCCCTCGATGCACCAGTGTGTAAAGTAGGATAGATGATATTCCCCTCTCCCTGTGTCGTCTTCATGTTCTGAAAGCATGTTAAAAATAGCTTGAAAAGGATATTTCTCCAGTGGTTGGCAGATTTAATCAATTATTACCTGGCTATTTCCATAGCTATGGGTTAGGCAGCAGTACTGGCCTCCCTGGGACTTCATGGCTCCCTGAATGACCTAGTTGTCACCATAGTAGAAGTGCTGTTTCTCAAGGCAAACTTATGTCAAGTATCACCTCTTTAAGACAGTGCTGGATCAGCCCAAGAGGAAGCAAAGGATCCAGCCATGGTGTCTACTTGGTGGTTTTGAGATGGCTTCCTTACTGGAGGTGGTCAAGAATAATGTATTTGTTAGATCCTTCCTTCCATCCTCTTTCTGACCAATACTGACTTCCATGGTGATCCTAGCTTTTCCCTCCATATGCATCATGCCCTGGATTACTGCCCTCCATCTCTCCAGATCCTTCCTCCCACAGCCCTTCCCCCACTCCCCAAATCCACACAAAGGTGAAAAGGAAGGAGGTGCCAATGACTTCCCTATATCTGCCAGATTCCCTCTCCACCTCTGACGTGAATGAGGCCCTTCATGTGCTCCTCTTGAGCAAACACAGATGCTTTTGTTTTATGGGCTCGTGGGACGGGATGGAATTAATAAATCAGAGTGCCAATGCTGTGTTGCCACATTCCTGCAATTTTAAGGCAAGATCACAAAAAAAGAGGAAAAAATGCAGAGGCAAAATAGGCAAGCTCTTCAGAGAGACTTCAGATGGTCCTGCTCT